CGCACCCCAAGCCGGAAGACATTCTTTAAGAATAGCAAATAACGATACAATCGCGCGATTAACACAACTAACGTGCCAATCCTACGTGCCGTGTAAATACACTTTTTACCGCATGTGGTAAATTCGATATGCGGGGACACGACGGTTCGTCGTGACGCGCTAACGAGCCGTAAAGACGACAGAGAGAAAGAGAGAGAGAGAGAGAGGGAGAGAGACAAGAAAGACCGGACTGAGGTCCCTTGCGCAAAGGGGCTGAGGAGCGGGAGGCAGACGGCCCTCCGACCATGTCGCGAAGTTTAAACAGCTTAGAGGGATGTTGCGGCGCCCCCGATGCTTGGGGCGCCAAGTCAGCCGGAAACCTCTAATAGCCCCGTCTGGAAAGGAGAGAGAGAGAGAGAGAGTAAAAGATAGAAAGAGAAGGATGTCGTAGCCGAGGATGGAGTCCGCACTATGAATGTGACCGCAAAGGTGCCCGTACAGGTTGTATCTCCGCGAGTATACGATAACCGCACCCTCGAGGCGACCCCGAGGGAAACGCGTTCGACCAGGTATCCGCGTACGTCGTAGCCGCAACTGAGTTCATAATTCGAAAAGGGCGAGGACGGCGCGCGCTCGTGCCTGCGGCCTGGGGTAATTATTAATCGTGTTACGAACGCGGTATATGTGTATTTATTGAAAATTACGCAACTATATTAATGCGTTAGCAATATTTCCCGAGTGTTTTTTTTTCCACAATAGAGTCCTGCATAAATAATCATGCAGGTGTAACATTTTTCGGAATATGTACGAAATTATTTATAAAATTGTGTGTATAATTACATATCGAGACAATTTCTTTCTAGAGAGAATCATAAAGTTTGTAATAACAATAAAATAATAGATAAGATAATAGAAATAATAGATAAGATGCTTTAGTTATATGTCAATTTAACTTTGTGAAAAAAAATCAATCATTGGCCAAAAATTATGACTAGTAGTATTATATAAAAGACAAATGCACGACAGAGTTTTGTTGCAATTATATTTATGCGTAACCAACGTCATAGCACGATAAAGTAATGGATGACCTCGACGATTCCAATTAATCGTTCCAGTTATTGCGAGTGTTTTAATGGATATCGTATTACGGAGTGTCATAAAGCTTTAATTTTCTTCGCGATAACGTATTGTATCTGGATATTATTTGATGTGTATGGCGTATTAGATGTATATTTTTCTACAATACATAAAAATGTAAACGTAATTTTTAATTATACAATTTATTTATCTGTTCCAATTTTATGAAAAACATATATGTTCTTTTTTTTATGCAATGTGGCCTAAAATATAATTTTTTTAATTACTTAATAATTATTAATTGGAAGAAATTCTCAATGGTTAGATAAATAATGCTAAATATAAATAAATGCATTGAGATGAGAAAATGGTCAATCATGATCACATTTGTAAAAAAAAAAATTGCCCATTCGCAACAGACGTCTCAAACGTCACCGAACGTGCGACCGAAATAGAAACATTCAATGAAAAGATCGAAAAGTACACAGAATGCACTCGTTCCTCCCCATCCCGCTCTTGGCCTCGATCCATCGACTTTACTTTGCACCAACAGCGCGGACAGGTTGTGTTTATTGTGAAAACATAAAGGGCACGATCACGCGTGTATAGATAAGGTCGCGTACACATTGCAAGTTGATCATTCTGATGACAGAGGGACGATGATTTTGATCGATAATGTTCCTCTGTAATCACATGTCGGCGCCGAGACAAATCGGGGATCGGTGAATTTATTTTCAGTTCAAAATGCTGAGAATGATATGATCTTAGAAAGAATAGACATTTAGCTAATTAAATACATTAAAAATCCTATATATAATTATTATTTTTATCAAGAAAAAATAAATATATAAAACTATTTTTTTAAAATATACGATATTTTCAGCAGCTATCAATTCGATGTAATACATTCGAGTAATATTACTACGATTCATCAGAACGGGCAGCGCGTTTCTCATGAAATCGTTGATGCTATCAAAACTCATCACCCGCCAGTCCACCCTATAAAGCTCCGAAAATATTCTGCCGCCTCTCTCAAAGACATTCTGTCGGTGTTTTCTCATCGAAGAGGCTCGTGACCACTTGCCAGTCTGTCACTTCGCTCGTCAACCCCTTGCAACCACCGTGCACTTGACTCGTCGCGCCTCTCCCCCCTTCCGTTGCGTTCCACCGCCGTCCCCCGAAAACGTTCGCCTAACTGCGAAGGTAACGCGAAGTAACGCTCCGACCCCTCGTAGCCTATTCCGGGTTGCCGGCTCGCGCACGAACAATATTTGCAGAGCTCTTATTCTCAACCCCCGTGAGCGGTGGCGGCGCTCCGAACCACCCCGCTCGCCCGAACCACCCGTTTCTCTTTCCACCCCTCGTGTGCACCAGCAACCACCTACCTACCTACCTACCTAATAATGATTTTACGTTACGCCACGCCGTTTTCCCCGGGGAATCCGACGGTGCCGCACCCTTATTGCACATGGCCTGTGCTCGGTACGTGGGGTACGTAGGCAGTCGGCCGTAGGGGGGGTTGGAAAGAGAGAGAAAGGACTGATTATCATTAGCAACAAAGTCCCAGAACACCCTTGGCACACGTACGCACGCAGCCGACTCGTCGTTCGAGGTCGTGGGAGCAACGAGATTTGTACGTGCGCATGATAAAAAAAAAAAGGAAAGAGAAAGTGCTATCGCGCCAAGGGTAAAAACAGTCGAATCGATCTAGTGAGCGTATATAAGTTACCAGAGGTATGTAACTTATCAAAGAATCGATGAAATAGATTTTCAGCGAAATTTTGTGATAAAAAAATATTGCATTAAAAATTAGTTAATTTAAATGTAAACATTATTATAATTGAAACTATAATAATAAAAATAATTGTTATGCAAAAGCATGATGAAAAATTATAGTTTCGAATTTACAAATCACGAAAGACGCTTTTACTGAATAAAAAATGTTTAAAAGATATACCGAATACATAAACTTTCTACACACTTTATTATAGAAGAGAAGATTATCTCCCAAAACTAAAGAATTCCTACGAAAAAAAGGACCGGACTCTTCTTCGTTTTACGGCACAATTACCGCGAACAGACCATGAACATCATTGGTCGGCGCTCTCATGGCGCTTTTGAATTTTTTATACTCCTGAATAATAAATTAAATGTTTCATGGCGACCCTCCGCGTGGAACGCAACAGTGCGTGTAGGTGGACACAAGTGCGTGCGACACAAGGAGATCCATGGTCGATCCCTGTCGGTTGTTAGAAAAGTTCGCGGAAGTGACCATCGCTTTGTATATCCTGTTACATTGCCGGCCATTCCTCCGGCTGTTTTGGGGGGGTCATAGAACGAACGTCGTGGGGGCGGAGGGCCTCGGAGTGACGGCAGGATGAAGTGGCGTGGGGGAGGACAAGGTGATAATTTGATAAGACATCGGGAGGGGTTGCCATGGAGACGATACAAAACCCAGAGCCTCGACTAGAACCCTCCAGCAGGCGCCTACTCTCTCCTTCGTCGCTCTCTACCCTCGAGAAACCTGCTCCTTCAAGAATCCGCTCCATCAGCCCAGAGACACCGAAGTGTCAAGTGTCCTGCCGCCACTATCGCCTCGCGAGTTTCCCGACTTTTTTCCCCCGAGCTTCTCAATCGCACGTAGAACTTCGACGCGTACGACATTGATACGTGCTGTCGAAGATAAACACGCATCGCGTGTATATAAAAAAAGACAAAGACTGCTGACGAGGATTACGCCTGCCATTGATAATAATTAAAATTGCTCTTGACATGCAAATGGGATTTTAATAAGATTATTATTATAATATAATGCTCAAGATATAAAAAATTTATAATTCTTGACAATTCTCAAATCAATATACTAAATATCTAAGAAGAATTTTATCACAGATTTCAGTGAATAATACACGGAAAAAAGAAATTAGCTGCCGTAGCTAAAAACTGCGTGTGATAACTAGATTTCAGTCGTAATATATGGACAGCGATAGATTCTATAATAATTATTTTTATTTCAACCGGAAAGATAGAGACTTTTATCATTCTAGAAACAATCAGTAGTCGAAATGCCCACTTTATGAGACAAGATTATCCACTCGTGTGTCTTGCACAGACTCCACGTTGCGTCACAGCAAGTTCCATTCCAAGATTGGGAAGACTATGATACCCCCCCAAATCGTGGGAGCAAAGGACGAGAAAGCTAAATACAGGAGAGAGACAGGGGATAGGGAAGCACCCCGAAAGACATTACGATTATTACCGAGCGAAATTCGCAATGTGGGACTCGAACATCCCCGAAATGCATTGGCCACATGTGCCGTATTCAACTGGATCCTCTCGCAAGGACTCGGTCCAGACGGTTGACTGCATTATTTATCGCACGAACTTGCCGGACTAATTGATCCCTCACATCCCTTCGATAACGATACCCATCGGAATCACGAACACGATTTTCGTATAACGTCCGAAAGTTGGCGAGCTGTCCGAATATGAGATAATTGCGTACCAAGCAAAATCAATCCGAGCAACTTTAGCATTTCCCATTCGATTAAATAGAGCAAAGTGTAAGAATATCGTCGGATTAAACGTATAGTTTATAATCATGTTTATGTGTAACTGATGGACAAACTTTTATTAGAAATCTATAATAGATACAAATTTACGTTGGAATTGTTTATGAAATTAAAATCCGCTAACGCGCGATCATTTTTATAGAATACATTTTTAATCGATAATAATTAATATCGAATATTCAATAACCATTAATATTAATTTTAAGTTTGCTAAATATTTTCTATTAGTTACATAAGATAGATATTAATAAATAGATAAAATATTATAGATATTAGAATAGATATTAATAAAATAGATATTGGTTAATCGCGAGAAATAAATCTTTTCAATTTTCGCTGTCTTTCAAAACCATGGATTCGTAGCTTACTCACCAGTGTGTATGTAGGTGTGCTTCTTCATGTCGCTCTTCTGATGGAATCGCTTGCCGCAGAACTGGCAGGGATACGGTCTCGTGTCCGAGTGGATTAGAAGGTGAGTGCTGAGCGTGCTGGATCTCTTGAAGGCTTTACCGCATTGCTTGCACTCGAATACCTTCTCCGCCGAGTGCACGGCCCTGTGCTGTGTAAGGCTGATCTCGTGGCCGAAGGTTTTGTTGCACAACTCGCAAGCGAATGGCCGTTTACCGTTGTGTGATCGCCTCGCATGCACCTACGTCAAAAATTGATGTTTTTAAATATTATAAATACATAAAAAATTAGGTAAAAAAACATAAATGTGCAGAACGTCAACGCAGGATATTATTTCAAGAATAGAAAATTACATGTGTTAAGCGCAAAATTATTTCCATAAGAGAAAAAGCCCGTGTGCGCACATATATACACATATATAAAATAACGTCTTATATTTAAAATCACATGATATTTTTTTATATAAAAATATTGTATAAATGTAAAAATAAAAACTATTAAAACAAAAATAATTATTTATCGCGGCTAAAGTAATTGAAATGTACGCAGACGAACGTCATCGAGGATAGCAAATCAGAAATAAATCTAAACAACTGGTACAATCTTGAGTGTGGTAGAAAAAAAAACCCGCATACATACCTCGAGCCCATGCGGCGTGCTGAACATCTTGTCGCACTTGACGCAGCTGTAGACATCGCCGAGCGGATGGGGATGATGCAGACCGTGCGCCGTGTGAGTCGAATGCAGTCCCGGGTGACCCGGATGAACGCCGCGTAGCAGCGGGTGCAGATGCGGCGGCAGAAGATGATGCGGCAACAGTTGAGGATGCAGGTACGAGAGGGGATGATGCGGATGAGGCGGCAGGAGGCCGCCTTGAAGATGCAACGGCGGATATAGAATAGACGAGCCGGGTGGTGGCGGATGAGCGCCCATGGAAGCGGTTTCTCGATGCGGTGACGCGTTCTGCAGGTGAGCGGAGGGTGGGTCTGGCCTCAGAAGAGCCGACACGCTGAAACTATCGCCGGATTTCTTCGGCGGATGCGAGACGGGTGACGTCGCGACGCTGATGGGCGACGGTGACGGCGTCGATGACGATCGCGGAGGGCTCGAGGTGCCTTCGTGGTCATCATCGTCGCCGACCTCCTCGACGTCCACGTCGACTTCCTCCTCACCGACATCGACGTCCACCTCGGCGTCCCGATGCTCGGGCGGAGGTGAATCCGGACAGGGAGATTGCGATGGCGAGGGACTCCTCGTCGCTGGAGAGCCCACCAGACGACCCACTCCGAACGACAGCCGTTCTGAAAGATATACCGTTTATAATGATAATTAATTATATTATTATATCGAGCTATATTCTTGATGTTCGATTGATTTGTACGAATTGAAGAATCAATATTAAGTTTAATCGTGCAAAAACAAATCGGCGATCATATCGCGTTCATGGATTCGCACCTTTGAGCAGATATAGACATTCTGTAATCGATAAACCAGAGTTCATATACTAGTCACGAGACCAAGATGGCCAATGACTAGACGGACGGTGACTACGTCACGTATAAGGTACATGTGGGACGCTAGATGCAGGGAATCCGAAAAAGGAAAGCCACGGGTAAATACAGTTTCTTTTGGCGGAAGGACTCAGCTGGAATAAGATTTGAGTCACGTACTGGACCTCTTTTTCTTAGCGTGCGGGCGCGAGGGTGTTTAAGGGACGAACAGGGCACGAGAGGTCATGACAGGATCTCATGTTGCGCTAACGAGACATCGCAAGGAGAGAATCGAATAGTGAAGTGCCGAGGCGAAATGTATTTCCGCGACGTTACGTGAAGCAATGTCTTTAATAAAATCTTTCGCGCGCTCTTTTGGAATTTTTTTATACGACGTAGTATCATAAATCGTGTGTATATATGTGATTAGTTCTTTGATAAAATTATGCTTGGACGATAAAAGGCAATGGAAAATATGTCTAGTTAAATTTTAAATAAGCCTTTTGTGGCATAATAATCGTAGCATATCTCGAAATTTTGACATTTCTATTTGCCAATTATTAATGTGATTGTCTATACTAGATAATATGTCACATAATTATAGCTCTAACCCATAGGTAGTTAATTTATAACGAGGAGATTAAGCTCTTATTATTATTGAAATATTAATTAATGTTTTTACAATGTGTACATGTGTATGATATGACAGTTGCAAATTGCATCAGGTATCCCAATTTCGGTATCGCGTGTCAATCGGAATTTACTGTACTCTCTAATTATCGAATCGATGATTTCCGACGCAGCTTTGATTTGTACGTCGCGTCATTTTATCTGTCGACCGTGTCAAACGAAACACGATTCAATCATCAATTGTGATATGTATTTGTTAGATTAAGCGCGCAGAATATATTTATTTCGCGTTTCCTGTTATCTGTTTCCTGACATAAATTTGACGAGAAATTTGGGAGATATCTAGATTCGATTCCAAGATATGATAAGCAGTATGCAGAATATGCGACTCATTTATTATCTGCATTATTTCAGATAATATTATCTATATCTATACCATAAATATTTTAAAAAGAATCATTGTTTGCATTGTGAATTGTAATCAACATTAATAACTTTGTAGCATGAAATGCAATAACAAACTTTATATATATTATTATACAATTGAAAGTATATTCTCTAAAATCGAGAAAAAATATAATAAATTATATTTATAAAATTCATACTTCAAGCAGAGTAAGATGAGTGGAATCGATACGATTGAAGTCGAATTTTATTCGAAAATTATTTGTGACATTTTTAATAATTACGATCCGCTTACATCGACGTGATTTACGGCGCCGGGTGGATCGGAAATCGGGCACGCGTGCATCGCGTCTTGCCACGAGAGAAGGAAGGGCAGACTCAGGCTCTATTTCACGGCCCCTTCCCCGACGCACGGCAATTTCGACGTCGGATCACTCATATTGTGCGTCTCCACACACAAGCACACAACCGGTATATTATATTTATAATCCGTACGCGCGACACGCGGTCACGTGCCGGCTCGTATGATGCACCGGTGTCGGTTAATCGCATTTAAAGCTCTACGCGAGCCCCGTCGTTGGGGTCGATTATTATCGTGTCTCATGGTGGCTTTGCAATCGAATCAAAATACGACTCGCGTCAGAGTGGCCTAATGTAATGAGAAAAGCGCTTTGCGCCTGCGGGGATTTGTCCGAAAAGACAGATAGGTGCTTTATTACACCGGTCAAAAACACAAAGGAAGACGTAAGAAGCTAATGAAATTACAAACGTTACAGCCGACATTTTTCCATAATGTATATGTAATGTATATTTGAAACCATGTCTAAATATTTAGGATTTGCGTAACTGCCTTAATTACGTGTATCTTGTTTTATTTTAACATGATCGAGTTAGCTACTTTTTTTTAGAAATCTGCTTCATTAACGATATGTGTACTGAAAACAGATTTGTAGACAAAAATATATTACAAAAAATTTTTATTTTTTTTTTAATTTATTGTTAATAGTAGAAAGCTGATCAAACGTTAATTGCATTGATTGTTTCTTTATAGTTAGAGTTGCCTTTTATTTTTACAATTACAAAACAATTTTATCGCTTATTTCTCGCGTCATCGCAAGAAAGATAAAGGAAGCTCGAGACAAGAATGAGCAAAAAGAAGGAGGAAGTCCAAACAGATGTGATTCGTAGCGTGATGGAAAGAACTGCTTACGCAAATGCTGCGTCTGGGTGCGACTGGAATGCGCTAAAAACTGGTGGTGCAAACTAGCGAGAAAAACGGTTCGCGAGCGTCCGGCAGATGGGTTAACTTTGGTCTGAGTTTGACGGGGATCTGCATGCTTGTGGCATGCGAGTGCACACGTGACGTTGCATCGAGATACATCTCACGTGATCCGTAGTCGCTTGCAGGCTCGATACGGTGAATGAAACTTTTTGAATCGACTTCGGAATCGTTTTTGTCACGGCACCGACGCGCGTCGTAGCTATCATGGTTGCGCAAAGTGCTTCGAGTTGCTTATGGGACAAAGTTTTCGGAGAGTATCGTATAAAAGATTAATAATGTGTGTGTGGGATGCAAATTTGTCATCGATATTTGTTGTTTGTTAAATATTACATAACTGCATATTTTCGTATCTAAAATAATATAACTTGAAACTACAAAGTAAATCATAAAGTAGATTAAAATTATAAATTATTTTATTATAATTGTATATATACAAAATTAGATAAAATGATTTTATTTTCTAGCATTTCTTTAACATTATAACAATTTATTATAAATGCAATCTCTCTTTCTTTCTCTTTAGAAAAAGTTAAAAAAATTGTAGATATAGGGTATTAAAAAAATACAGTTGTAACAATTGTTATAAATATTAAAAACATAGAATATAATATATGAACACTTTACTTATAAAAAAACACATTAAAAATCAAATTTTTATTTGCATTTTTGATCAATATTTTTATATATGTATATAAATTCGATCAATGACATCAATTTATAAAAATTTTTTGCGTTAAATCGGTAGGTCGATTCGTGATAAGGGGATGACGACGATACCGAAGATGGTTGCGGACGTGGATTAATAAAGGAAGGCCAAACCGGGAGGACAATTAGATCGAGTTAACGGCCAACTTTAATCTTCTGTCGTCCGTCACTCGTTTACTGCGTAGCGATCTGCCGCTATTAAAGCCGTTACACACTTTAAACCCCTTCCGTGCTGCTAGTTCATGGAAAGAAATACGCGCGATCTTTGACGTATAATCGGCGTCAATAGACACGAGTGACAGGACGATGTGGGTTTTCAAAAACGGATTTTTCATCCAACCACACGCGTCATAAGCTATTAAAAATTAAACCCATCACGAGAGACGATATCAGGGTAGACCTACGAAAAATATGTAATTAAAAAAAATATTTTAACTTTCTTAGAATTTTAACTTTCTTAGATTGAATTAAGATAAAGTACAGATATAAAAAATACGTTTCTTTCCATTTATTATAATTTTTAATAATTTTTATTATTTATTTTATATTTGAAATTTTGATTATTTTTTTATCTTAGAATAAAATAAAGACAAAAGAAACTGATAGCAATTTTCGTACGAAAAATATTAAAGTCTCTCATCAATTCAACATTTGTTAAAGATTGTAAATTCATCATCGCAATACTTCAATAATGATAAATCACGGAGTTTATTTCCATTTTCTCATTTTAAAACAGCTTTAGTGGTTTTCTGATAATCTTCCACATCTTTTACACAATGCAAAAATAGGAGTGATAATCGATGTAAATAATAATACGATATTGCTCAACAAACATTATGTTTGCGCGACGCAAATCTTCGGCGAAGCAGTGGCAGTGGAAATGCGACGATAAAAGTATCGCGACCGATCTTATCATGTTCGAGAATGAACGAGGCAAATGAATGGCCACGTGCACGCGCGCGCGGTCGCAGAAGGAGTAGGAAGAGAGTATGCACGGGCGTTTAACATGACAAGAGACGTTACTAATTCAGGGTAGGTACGAGCCGACAAAGGGGCCGACGGCCCGAATCCCTGTGCACCCCGCGCTTCTAATCCGCTCCAATTGGGCCGGTAGGAGTCAGAAAGGCCCATGTCCGTTCGCGGTATGACGCGTGCTACCATTTATCCCAATCTTGTCGACAATGACCGGTCGTTCTTAATGATCGGCAAATAAAAACTCGCCGTCATCCGGGCTGAGGAGGAAGCCATCGAGGCGAAAGGTCGGCGCTACACCCGCGCGTCTGCACCTTTCGGAGAGGAGGATTAATGAGCAACCGTGAATGAAAAATGTATGAAACGATTGCAATTCTGAAATACGATAAGTACAGCTTGTCAAAACATTTAAAATTTGACACATGTAAAAAAAATCCATAATGTCATTCCATCGAGAAAAAATAATGAACAATAAAAATTAGTAAGTAATAAATTTCAATGCAATAATATAAATATATATAATTAATTTCTTATCACAAAATATTTAATTCGCAAGACAAAATAAATTTATGCGAAATATTTTATTTTGTTCTACTTTTTAAATTTTCGTCTATTTAGATTTAATTGAGATGTAATTTACCTATTATATTCGAATTAAAAACACGCAGTAATTCACAAATTGCAGGATCGTAAATGATTAAAATAATGACAAGCCATGATACATGATACGCCGTTTATTAATAATTAATTTGAAATTGAAAGAATAAAATATATATATTTTACATTTACATGAATTTGTTATTTATCGTAGTGTGTTAAAGCAAAAACTGTTTGGCTTTTGTTTTGTTTTGGAGGAGAGGAGAACGTACAACGCTTTGTTATTTACATACATGTCGTGGCCTTGTTATTCGCGTCGTGATACTCGAGCAGGTAACAGTCCCGTGTGTCGCCGCATTACTTTTCTAAACGCGAGAAACATTAAGAGATACCGAATTGGATCATTCTTTATGATTTTTCTATTATAGTTAACGAGTAACAACTCTATTAAAAGCATAGTACGTAATATATGATTTAGTCGAGCAAAATTTAGTCACCAAAGTTGTCGGCAAAGCGATGACATATTTTCAAATAATGTATAGATATTTATCACTATTTGTTATTTATATATGGGTGTATTGCTTTACTTGTAAAGATAGTATTGTTGCAATAAGCAGTAAAATTTCGTCCACACAATTTTCGAGTACGGAGAGGATCGTAGTCGCTTTCACATTATTCTCCAAATCGCAAAATAATAAAAAATACGCGTTGTGCGCGATTAATGTCAAGCGCAGTGCAAAGTGCCGAGCGATCATTTATATTATATATTTCGTGATTAGTGCGCGATTATAATTAACGATGTCTATAAGTGAGTGTTATGTGAGTGCAATAAAACAGCATCGAAGGATAAAGAGAGTAGAAGACATTCGGAAAGACATCCGGTGACAGCGAAACAATCACACAAAGTAAGCAATTTATAATTTATTTAATTTATTTAATTGTTATTGATAACATTAATTATGATATCTTTGCAATAGTTATTTCTTTTATATCATTATATAATAGAATGCATGTAAAAAATATTCTCTAAATTTTTTTATTTTGAAATATTTTTAAATAATTACTTAATTACTTTTTTATATATATAAATATATATAAAATATTTTAATATTGTG